AGAAGACCTGCTGTATTTATTTATTTATTTTTTAAAACAATGCTTTGTTAAAGATGTCATTCGTACTGTGTATGCATTCCGTTGGGCTTTACCTTTGAGAGGGAGCCACAGAAATCCAAGAGCGGCGAGATGTGATACTAAATGATTCTTATAGTTTTTCATTCCAGACACCCTACTGTTCCTCCATCTGTTCCCACAGAGCTAAAGTCACTACACCAGCATTCAGCATATAGACTTCATGGCACCCCGCTAGGTAAATACACATTGTTGTATAAACACGCACACATTCACTCAAGGCAAATATACATTCTTTTTGCAGCAGGGCTGCAGGAATGTTTGCAGAGAAACCCTGCTGACAGTTTGCAGTGAAACTGAAGGACTGACAAGCAGCTAGAAACCGTCCTAAACACACACTGTTAAGCACTCCTAATTTACCACTCGGCTGCAATATATCAATACTGTTCATCCACCTGTTATCTGTTTTACCAACCAAAGGGCAGCTGAAATGGTTATTTAATCGACAGACTAGTTCATGAAGTAGAAATCAATTAGTGACTGTTTTGAACATTAGTTTGCTGTTTCATCATTTTTCAAATTTTAGAATTTCAGATTCTAAAATTTTAGAAAGAGAATTACGTGTTGTTGTTTTTTTTTTTGGGGGGGGGGTGGGTTACCATTCCTCCTCTCACCAAAAGCCAGTCTGACATTTTAACTCTTGTTAGACCTCTTGTTTGCTCACTGTCTCACTTCTTGTTTTCTTCAGTTTTTGGTCTCTTTGCCTCTGCCACAATGTCCTTATTGAGAATATTGAGCTAAGTTATAAGAGAACAGTTTACCTTCAGTGCGGTCTGCCAGAAAACCGTCTGGTAAAGCATTAAAACCTTATCATGTAATATGATGAGAATGAGTGTTAGAGGTGCCGAGTGGGTTCTGAAGCTGTGTTATTTTACGATGAAAGAGTTGCAAAATAGTGTTCATAAATTAGATAAGCTGCTTCCAGCAAATCCCCTGAATGGATATTTCCACTATTTATCTGGCCTTGAAACAGAGTGCTTTGCTTAATTGGTGACTTTTATTTTTTAAAGACACACTTTTGGGCTTTTTATGCCTTTATTTGAGAGATAGGACAGAGAGTCAGTAACCGTGGGGAATGACATGTGGGAAAGGACCCAGCGGTTGGATTTGAACCCGTTGTACATGGAGCACACACTCACTGCTAGGCTACTGGCGCCCTGATGATGGACTTTTAAAATAATCAGTTTTTGATTTAAAAGCATCATAAATGGAGTTTCATTTAAACGTCGACCATCTGTTAGATAAAAAACAAACGATCTGAGAACGTTGTCTTTGGGTCCAGGAAACCTTCTTGATGACAGTTTTTTTCGGACAGTTTGAGGATCAGTTGTTTTTGGTAAGCTCATCAGTTAAAGATGACTAAGAATTAAATAATCGACCCATTACAAATAATCACAATAATGCTTCATTGCAGCTCAGATGCACCATGCATTTCTCTCTGCAGCTTTCTGCTTTCCTCTTTTGTATTCAGCCGTAGCGCTTTCAGTCCATTGTGTGATTAGGTGTGAGTGTGGTGTGGGGAAGGAGAGGAACTGGGAAGGACTGGGGGTGTGTGTGTGTGTGTGTGGGGGGGGGGGGGGGGGCTGTCTGACCCCTGAGGTCAGACAGCCAACAACTGGCTCTGCTGGGTGGTGTTTCTGCATGTAACAAATGATTGCCTTGCAGACCAGAAATCTGTCAGTTTTGATAAAACTGAGGCTCCATCTACTCCGCCATCTGGACTGGCATCTAACAGGTGTTACAGGTGAACAGGTGTCTGTAATTGAATGCTGTAGCAGCCGAGCTGTGTTCCTGGTTGGCTGCCATATTGTTGTTTTCTTCTTCTGCTGTTTGGTTTGGAGATGGATTGGTTTCTGCGTAAGCTCCAACACGTGCAGTTTGTGAGTCAGTCCCATAGCACAGGTGTGTGTCGCTGTGCGTAGCACAAGAGCATTGTGGGAGTAGTGTGAAATTTCACAGTTAAGGTGCAAAGATTCATGGTAAAAATATTTTGTGTTTTTCATTTGATTATTTAAAATAGGGACATTGCACAGTGATGAACATAAATGTACATAAACATAAATATGCCCAATTATAACCATAGGCTCCTTTCCTTCTGTAGTCCCCCGGCAGGTTGATCACGTGTACAAATGTTCATTGAACCTTACAAAACTCAGGTAGCACAACAACAAGCAGAAACCAAACTACAGCATAAACTGTTCATTCGTTGACAAAGACAGAAATATAACAATACAGAAGGTGGCTGGGTGAATTCAAAACAAACCAGGAATATAGTAGTACAAATCTCAAATGATTTTAAGTATTCAATTGCCAGCCTGGTTTTACGTTGTCATTTAATTTACCTTTCAAACCAAATCAGTTCCAACCCTTACCCCGATCATAAGCACTCGGTAGCGACTGCAGGAATGAGATTGCGGTTGCGGATTCAAGCAGCTGTAATGAGTTTCTTCTGAAGGGTGGCTGGACTCAGCCTTAGAGAAAGCCTCAGAGTCCATCTGGAGGAGCTGGAAAGTGTTGTTTTTGGAGAGGGATGTATTGGTCAACTTGCTTAGCTTGGCCCAGCCCTGAATAAGTGGAAGACCATGGATGGATGAAATTATTCCATATTTTCTATCGCTATCTTAGTAAACATGGAAATGAGTGAAAAACATTTTTTTTTTTTTTTTTTTTTATTCCTTCATAATTTGGGCTTTCATTGATCAAATATTGGCTTTTACACGCCTCTCATCTCTTTCTGTGCTGCTCCTCTCTCAGACCATTTCCACTTTCTGTCTCTTAACTTTTTGACTTTGTCAGCTTCTCTTCTCTACCCTCCTGTATCATGTCTAATTATCGAAGTCAGTGTGTGTCTACAGGGAGCTCTTCAATACCTCCTCATCAAAGCCTCTGTTTGTGTTTGCTTGTTTATCTCTGTGTGCTATTCTTGGCGCTCTCCTGGATCCCTGATGAGACACAAGCCTCCGATCCCTGCGGAGGCTTATACTGTAAGCTGTCACTGCACCTTCAGTTATTTAAAATACCTCCAAATGAGCTATGTCTCTTTATACCTCGTCTTGTCAATCTCATTATATATATTCTTATATATCTGTCTATATCTTTCTGCCTTTGGCTCATTTTACCTCAGATCGTGAGAGTGTAATGAAAGGCATGCTAGAGGTTGTTTCCCCATCAAAAATCCTTGCCTTTCTCTCTTCTTCTTGCACCCTTTGTTTCCAACTCCATACACACTGCTACACCTGCATTTTGGTATTTTTTCTTATGGGGGCCTCCCCCCCCCCCCGACCCCACCACCATAACACACCTTGCGGGTACCAGATGAATCTTTTAGGTATTTGTAAGAAGGAGAAGTTTCTTACTACGCTAACTTACACCCCTCAAAGCGCTAAAGAATCGGTTGGAGGAGCAACAATAGCATCATCTCTACTGGGTTGCCTTCTGGGTAGAAATAAGAGAAACCGCATTTGTAGAACGTGGAGAGTTGGATTGGGGTTGAAAGTGTTTCAGAGCTCACTTTTTACTTAAATTGCAGGTATCAATGTATTTGTATTTTTGTAGAAAAAGCATAATTGAGGATTTAGTCCTTGGACTTTGAAAGAAATGTTCCAGTACCGATACAGCCTGAATGTGATATTTGATATAATGGATATGCCAGGCAATGCACTGATCAAATACCATAACCAATCATCTCTAAAGAACCAACTGGTTTCAGCAACATTATTTGTGACAATGACCAATATTAACAATACTGATGCTAGCAGAGATTATAATGTTACTCAAATTGTCAGCCATCCCTGTTTTCCACCAATTTTATGTATTTTTCAATCTCACTGATATTTGAGGGCTACCTGGTACGGTAGTATGGAAATTGGTATTGGAAACACCAAATGGTATTCAAACATCTCTAGATATAAGCTTATATACAGAATGAGCTTTTGCAGGATATGCATTGAGGAAGCATTTTTTTGTGTATGCATTGGTTCAGACATATTTTGCGCCTCAAAGCAATGGATGACGATTAGGGACAGCCGCGGTGACAGTTTGGCATTTGTTGCAGAAATAGGGCGCTGTGTTGTTCAGATCTTTCCTAATTTGAGATCTCAGTTGCTGCAATGGCAAAAGTGTTTTTTTATTTTATGTTGGACAGAAGTGTTTACTCACCACATGGGACAGTAACTGGAAGAGAATTGCTGCCATTGCATATAAACCTCCAATTTTTCTTTATTTTCGAAATAAACACCCAGTGCAGATTTACATGTGGGACTAAAATAAGGTTGTGTCTCCTGGGACGTTTTTTTTTTTTTTTCTTCAAAAAAAAAGAGAGGTTTAAAAGCAGAGTTATGGCTTGTGATGGTAGGAGCTTACTAATGACTGAGCTTCTGTGAGCTGGTTGCTATGTATGACTCCAGTCTATGCTCTCTCATGTGCCTCGGAGTCTTGGGGGAGCTCAGATATTGTCCCATTTATTGGCGGCTGCATGGGGAAACAAATGCTCATTTTCTTCCAGATGCCCATGGCTGTTCCAAGCTAAACTGAAAGGGCTTAATGGGGCATCTACGGGGAGGGTTTTTTGGGTGAGGGAGGCAGGGGTGTGAAGAATTGTGGGTCATGGTAACTTGGCAGGCAATATCAGTAAGACAATTGAGAAACGACAAATGGCAAAGGCTGAAGTCAGCCACCTCTGTGTCCTCAGGAGAAATACGGCTGGTGGTCGTGGACAAAAGAAGAAAAACTGTCTGATTACTTCTCACCAAACACTCTTTTGACCACAGACATCTTTTATGTAAATTAAAAACCCCAAAAGATAAAGACTTAACAGAAGAAATGAAAGACTGGGTTCACTTTCCAAGCCAGTGAACAGCGATCTGGTAGACATATTTGTTTAACCTCTGACTCTTAACATTTAGCCCTGTCTTGTTTTGTCACAGGAGCCATGATGGATGAGACGGAGAAGTACAAACAGCGGCTGGAAGCAATTGCTGTGAGTCCACCCACACACACAAACATACGCACACAAACGTCCATGCACACACAGATGTTCATGTTGCCCACCGAAGCAGCACTGCCACTATTATTGCAGCAGACTGGCTCTGTACTTAGCAGTTCAGATAGATAAAGTTATTTTTAATTAAATACTAGTCTGAGAAAGGCTGCACAAAACACTAACCCATCTGTCACATAACTGCATTTTTTATTATCATTTTACTTCAGCATCTTTTGCACTACTCACCACTGCACTGTTTCTTATTTAGTCTTCTACATATTAGTCTTTGCTTATTGTGTTTATTCTTTATATTTAACGTTATACTTGTTCAAAAGCGAGCACAGTTCACTGAAGTTAAATTCCTTGTTTGTGTAAGCGTGCCAATAAAGCTGATTCTGATTCTGAAAGGCATCAAAATATACTGTAAACATGCGTAATTGTGACATTTCTTTTTTTGTACTTTATTTTTCCAGAAGTAAAACACCAATGTGACAAAACGAAAAAGACATGCGTAAAGCATACTATAAAAACAAAAACAATCAAACAAACCAGTAACATCAAAACACCAGACAAAATTCATATGTCTTGGGTAAACCATCCCACTTAAAAAAAACTTAACATTAGTATATAAATAAGTAACAACAGATAAATAAACAAACACACAAGACCAAACAAAACAACCCTGCTGCCCATAGTTCGACCCCCGGTTCCACAACTGGGACCGATAACTTGAGATTAAGTTCAAGTAGATACAGTATGAAGCAAGGAAGTAAAAAATCATGTTAGATAAACAATTGTGACATTTCTGGAGCGTCATGCTGCAACTTTAACACAATCTTATCGCATGCATGTTGCTTGTGGAGCAGATAGGCTTTTCCTTTCGTGGCTTCACCTACAAAAAAAAAAAAAAAAAAAGTATTGGTCATCTTTCAAAGGGTGCATTGCAAGACCACCTGCGTCACAGCTTTGCCTCAAAGGCTATCCGTCGAAGACTCCTTCAGAAATGGCCAAAGAATTTGCCTCCTTCTTTTAGTCGACCACGGAGGATCCATCCGGTACATCCTTTGTAGCCTGACGAATCCTTAGATTTATTGTGCGCCAATTCCAACAGCATGACGGACTCTCATGCAGCCGAGTGATACACTTAAAAATCTAAGTAAGTGTTGAGCTTGAAGAGCACTTTTGTAGTCTTGTGCTTTTAGACCGCAGGTCACGCCTACGCATTATAACACCCACTCACACACTGATGGCAGAGGCTGCTATGTAAAGTGTCCATCAGTCTTAACTGATCCGCCACCGACGAAGTTGCAGGAGCAACTTGGGCTGAAGTGTTTTTTCCCAAGGACACAACAACATGTGGCTGAAGGAGCTGGGGAGAGACCGCCCACTCTACCACTGAGCCACAGCCGTCCCGCAAGTAATTGTTTTTAACTCAATCAAATGGCAAGCAAATGTTAGCAAAACGAAGTGAGCCATGAAAACCTCAAACTATCTTTAAAATAAAAGGTTAAGTTACCTGACGGTGATTATGTTAGCTAGTTGCGGTGCAGCCGTCAAGGCCTCTAGGCGATGGGAGCAGCGCTTATTAATAAACAGAGGTAAGGATGGACAGCTGGGGACTTAAACAGGAAATGCTCTGTAGATCAGACCATCTCATTTCAGTTTGGCCTGAGCGGGCTACACTATCTATGAAGGCTAAGTCCTTCGAAGGATGCTACCCCTGAATCAGGACACAGCTATAGAGAAGACAGACAGACATGCTCTGGCTGTGTCTGGCTGCGTCTCTGTTTTTTTTAAATGGTTTTGTTGTGTTGTGCCATCTTTCTTGTAATGAAGGCTTACTAATGCTGTTGTTTTTTCTCGGATAATGCATTCCTTCTGATATTTTCATGAAACAACATTTATCTAGCACCCCTGCCAGCGTGACACTTTCATTCTGTGTGTTATTCTAATCTGTAATAAAAAAAAAAATACTGCTGCGAAGCTGGTTTTGAATAAATAGCCGTACTGGGTAGTGCATTTGTCCAACTTAAATATCAATCAAGTCAAACTCCAGAATTTCCTGCACTGTAATTACCATGAGTGCAACATTTAAGAAAAAAAATCTGATAGTTCTGAAGCTGTTAAAGTCAAGCTATTACAGAAAGTGTTCTGCTAGTGTTGTGGGTTCACTGTCAGCCCAGAGTAGGCAGAAAGTCCTCTGGGTCCTCCTCCATCCAAACTGCACATGTTCACTGCCTCTGTCGAGACGTTTGTGTTGTTCACTATTTGAGTAACTAATCATCCACACCACTGAAATGTTGTCTTGCTTTCTGCTTAATAATCTCCACTTCAGTTTAAAAAGTCAAAGTTAATAGATAATAATAACCTTACTTCTAAAGCCATTTGAGGACCGTTTTTCAACTTGGAACCAGATCCAAAGGGTCTGCGTTAAAGGAAGTTTTACAAGCGAGGGTTTGTCGCAGTAAATGCAGCTCATCTACTTCCTCATTAATTTCGTATTCGTCTTCACAGAGAAAGACGGGGTAAAGAGACTAAGCTCTCTAAGCTGTCTGTTACTTCTAAATAATTAATTGAATATGCAATGTTGTGAGCCGGGTGTCCCTCTGGTCTCAACACTAGGTTGTCAAGGGGATAGCTGCTCTGAGTATTATGGGATATAGAGTTTACCTATTGCGTCTGAGGTGACTGTGTCCTTGTGACAGATGGTTGACCAGGTGTCCTAATTTAACTCTTCTGCAGTGATGTTTTATTCACAGCATCTCTTTCCTGTCTATGTTTCTGTCGTTCATTCTCAAAAGCTTGTATCTGTGTCCGACTGTTGATGACACTTTTCAGAGGATCGCTCTCTTCATGCGAGCAAGATCGCACTCCTCTTACCAAACTATCACAAGTCTGCACTCACTCCTTGGCTTTGAATTTTCTCACCCTTCCTCCTTCTTTTCCTGTGTCAGGAGAAGCGTCGGTTGCAGGAAGAGGAGGACAAAGCCAGGAGAGAGATGGAGGATGAGAAGCTCAGACTTCAGCAGCTCAAGGTCTGACACACACCAACAGTTTGATCTAAGCTGTTTCATTCATTCAGTCAGCCACACACAACGCACAAGTGCATGCATTCTTAATTTCACTGCTGAATTTCTCTGCAGACCCATTGGAGCTTGTTAGCAGGCAGATATCTTTAACAATTTCCTTTTTGCACACACACACATCCTCACACACACACACACACAGACAATTGGAGATGGACTGTACAACCTTCCACACTTCCTGGTTTTGGCCCCCTTGCTCATAAGGTTAAAGGCAAGCCTTCCTTTGCTGAAATCAGTTTTTATGTGAGTGTTTACACACTCTGCAAGTCACAGAGCTGCTCTATTGTTTTCACATCATTTCCACACTGGCGTTCCCACTTCCTACTCCACTGTGTTACGCAGCCCTGGGGCACATTCCTCGAATTGTGTGAAATTCTTTGCAGCATGTTAGTGTGCACGCAGGTATGCATGTGTGTGCCGATGTGGTCTTGCAATAGACTATTTTGCATATTATTCTCCACTTATTTGTGGGTGCATGTGGGTTTCTGCAACACTTGCTGAGCCTGAATTGCATCGTTGAGATTCAAGTTGCATGAGGCTTCAGAGATTAATTTTTAAATGATGGTATCAGAACTTTTATTACATTCATTAGCTCTGACATTGAATGTAACCCCAGGGTCGATGTGAAGATGGGATAAAGAGGGAGCAGCATCTTATACACACACTGCTCCTGACCTGCAGGAAAGTTTAGAGAGGGCTGTGTCCAGTGAGCCAAAGGCACAGGGAGGGGAACAGAGGAGGGCTTGTTCTCCACTGCAGGAGAAAATACAGAGATGATTTTGTGACGCTTATAGTTAAGTAGGTAGCTACTGGCTAACGGTTGCCAGATTTTAAAAACATGGGGCCATAGGCTGCAGGGGTGTGTGGGGTTTTCAGATGAATTCAGACACATAGCCTAGTTTTACACAGTATGAGAAAACACTGCTGCTCTTAATGCTTTGTACTGGATTCTAGTGCAAACAGCAACATAATTATGAAAACAAAAATTACCCATGGTATTTTTGTCCGTTTAGATTTACTCAAAGTTCCCTGCAGACAGACTGTTTATTTCCGCTTGTCAGGGTCAGCTGCAGAACAACGTTCCTCGAGCTGGCAAGAGTTTACTGTCTGGCTCAAGGGCTGCACAGATGCTTACTAAAACAAGCACTTGAACCAAGGTCAGCTCATCGCAACACAGCTCTTACATGTACTAAGTCACCCAGCATTTGCTGTTATGAGTCCAGACAAACAGGGAAACACAACTGGTGTATTAAAGAGAGAGAATGTTTATTGTTTCTGACAGGTTCCTGCACAACAGATTTAAGTTTCTATCACTTCTTGTGTAGTTAATTATAAACTGAAATGTATGTTTGCAGAGAGGAGTTTTTTCAAAACAGCTATAGAAATACAAATGTAATGTACTGGCATATTTCTACATTGCCTTTTTGGTTAGTTTCGATTTCCAGATCTTCATCATCATCAGCCTTTATTTAAGACTAGAAAATCATCGAGCTTTCCCTAACGTACAATGAAGTTAAGATACAAAAAAGAACAATATCAGAGAAAACAATGGAACATTGAGGTGGAAGGATTCGAAATAATTAAGTCGACCTTTCAAAGAGGAATGAGAGTGTCGATGTCAAGAGTACGATGTAAAAACAATTCTGCATGTTTGGAGTCAAAACGGCTAATAAGCGCATTTTTCAAGTTCAGAGTGAACATGCAGGACTTGAAGCATTAGACAGTCAGTAGAGCGAGTCTGGTTGGATCCATTGGTTCAGTTCAACATAGATGTCGGTGAACGAATGTCCATTAAGAGATAGAGAAGCACCGATCCACTTTTTTTAAATTTCTGATTTCAATACATCAGTAACGATAGCGTTACTGACTCAGTTTTGTTTGTATTTGTACATTGTTGATATTATGTGTCAGGCTACACAAAGCTGGAGTCAACCAGCATTGCATTACTTGTTGAAAAGCAACACAATAATAATAAATCAAAATTATTCCGAAGACATTTATCTGATCTTTGTGCTGGCTTCACATATTACCAGATAGCATAGTTTATTATATTAAACATATAAACTGAAGTGCAAGGATTGTGGTTTTTATCATATTAAAGGAGCTGGTCCATCTCGTCTGAACGTCTCGTTGGAGACGATTTGTGATCATTTACAGTTCAGTCTGAATGTCTTCAAAGCCAGACTAAGAGAGAGAGAATGTTTAAAGAGCCCAACGATCTTTCTTGAGTCCGATATCTGATATGTAAATTACATCATGTCTGACCTGATATGATATTAGATTGGATCGGTCCCTTCTCTAATAAGAGGTTTATAGATAAAAAAGAGAGACGGGTGTTTATCACACTTCTGTAAGTTGCAAAAGTAGACCAACTTACTTTGTTATACAGAAAACAGTGATGATGAAGGAGCCACAAATCAGACTCGAACCCGTGCCGCGCCTAGGACTACAGCCTCTGTACCAGGGGAGCACACTCTTCCCACGACGCAACAAAGTGGATTGAATGTAAAATAAGTTGTGTGTGTGTGTCTGGTTCACACTTATAACAATGTGTTTTGAAGATGAAGCTGAGAGAGTCTAAAACTTCTGAGACTTGCACTCTTGTTTTTGTCAAAAACTTGAAAGTACTTGCTTTGATTCTCTGTTAGGAGGGAACAGCAGGTAGCCTCAGGCAGCTTCGGTTCACTGGGTCAGGACTATTTACTGAGGCCGTGTAGGAAGATGAGAATAAAGAAAGGGCTCACACACATGCTGTAAATTCATGCTAGCATTCTCTCTGTGTAGCTGGGATGAAAACTGATGCCGTGGTGATGTTTCTTAAACCATCAAACGACCATCGACCATGTTTCACTTTACCTTTTCCAATTTTCTCTCTCTCTCTCTCTCTCTCTTTGGCCATGTCACTGCTCCTTACATCTCATTTCTCTTCTCTTCACTTCTTCTTTTCTGTTTAGCTCGGTCTAAAAACATTCATAGTACCAGTACTTAGTGTGTTTTTTTTGTTTTTTTTTAAGTTTTCCAACATTTTTGAACATGAGACACATGACACCATTTTTTAAGCAATTCATTACATTGTATTTAATGCTGCTTAAAATGAGGCCAGGTCCCAATGCACTACTGCATACTGCTTAAAATATCTTAGAATTAGTTCACTGTATGTGGAGAAGTAATAATAGACATGATCACATATGAATAATTTCAACAGTAACCAATGTTTAAGGTTTTAAAGTTTAACATGCTTAATTGGCCTGTTTGACATTTTGACCGTATTCAAGCCCTTAAGCTTAACAAACGTCTCCTGCACTCACTTTCTAACCTGTTGTAATACTTTTAGAAATTCAGACACTAATTAAAAACTTTACATGTCTCTGTTTCAACTAATGCAAATGTTTAAGAGCAGAGTCCCTCCTCACTTTGTGTTGCAACCTTACATTTGAATCCCCATACAAAACAAGACCTTGCAATTTGTTTCTCTCTTGACCTTACCCTTGTTAACTTCATCTCATTAACATGTAAGGATGTTTGTATCAGGGGTTTGATACTTCATTTCTATCAAGCTGCTCATTTGGTTTTGATTCCTTTTGAGAAATATATAGATGCTTCAATAACGTTCCTGCAAAACGTCTGTGGCTGAATCACTACCAAAACGAAAGTGGAATACTTTAGAAGACGTTGCGCCAACACATCCAGACATATTCAGCTGCCCACGTCACATGAATGTCAATACCAATGTGACTTCACTAACCTCTGGATTAAATCTGTGATAGAACTGCAGAAAGAAACACAGCAGACACTTCTATCCGAGGCGACGTTCATCAGACGTCAGACAGATCAGACACTACTTATCAACCCGCAGATAAAAGTGCAGCAAGGTGCAATACTTGAAACATGGAAGTGCAACATGAAAGCGCTTCATCTTAAAACAATGTAGATGAGTCTTCTGTCAGACAACAAACATTGGAGGAGAGTTAAAGCACATCCAAGTAGAAGCATGACACCTTACACTTAATTATACTGTGTATCTCCTCCATAAAGGCCTTGACTACAGTATGGGAACTAATTCATTGTGTTGTTTTTATATTTGTGGACTATACAGTGTGTCCATTTTTGCACAATGTACTCCAATAAAATACTTGTTAAGTTAAACACACTTCAGCCGTTTGACTGCATTTGAATTTCATTCAGGTCAACATTCTGTTGCTAGTAGCAACAACTGTAGAGTTGGTAGTTAAGGAGACATGTTTTTCTACATCTGTTGTTCTTATTGACAGAAATCTTTTACCTACTCTAAAAAAAAAAATCCCCCTGTTGGGCCATTATCTGAAGGTACTGCTTTTTCTTTGTATTTTGTTAGTGTCCGTTTTTTGTAGGTGAATGTCATTTTAGATACTAATTGACTTCAGCCTAGTGCTAACCAATGTGCATCTTAGCTAACTGCTAATTGCAAAATTCTAGTTAGATTTCTGTTGTTGTTAGCTTAATGTTGATATTTTATTACTCTTGTAAAAAGATGAATGTGAAGTTATTTTCCCCAGTATTTAAATCTTGTGTAAATCAGTATACTTCAAGTGATGAAAGACACAACAGAAAACTCAAAGTACTTCGTCTTTTTTTGAATCTCTGAGTTTTTTGGGGGGAAATTTTCAAAATCCAAACAAAAAACACAATTTTTAGACACTTAACAAAGGTGTGTAAGTAATCTGACAGTTAATCACTTGAGTGAATGCAGTTAATGGCTGGCCTGGTTAAGTGTTAGTATCTTCTTTTTAGTTTCAGATTAATAACTAGAGTTTGAACTGTTGGTCTGCTTATGTGTCAGCCCACTAGGTAGCCAGACATTCTGGTAATGGCTTATAGCAAATGTGACCAAAGAAGCATCTACAAGTTACTTTATGGTTAAAGGTTAAATGTCCTGCCAAGTACGTATCGAGGTCAAAACTCTTCTGTTAACGTATTTTAAGAGTCAGTATCAAGAATGTTTGTTAAATCTTTGCCTTTAAAAACAAACGGCACCAGCTTTCAAATATCACTATCGCTATCTGCTTCTAACATCCATCATGCCATTGAAGTAACATGATTTTGAATTGTCTGCTACACTAAGCTGGGGGATTTAGTTGAAAACGTATCATTTTAATTTATGTTAAATCAATTCAGTCCTTGAAATGTTAATTTTTATTTTCATTATTTTTTCTAAACAGTTTGTAGCTAAAATAATCAAACACTCTCCTCCCTCCCCATCTTCGCCTCCTCTTTTGTCACCACAGAGAAAGTCTCTGAGAGACCAGTGGCTGATGGAAGGAGCACCTTTGTCCCCGACGTCCCCGGACGCCCAGAGATCTCGCTCCCCTCTGTGGGGCTCCCAGGCTCAGGAGATGGAAAAGCGCATAGACAAGTAAAGCAACAGTGTGTGTTTGTGTGTGTTTTGAGAGTTGCAACATAGAGACGAGGAGATTGTTTGTGACTGCCTGAGACAGTAAGAAGAGCTGACAGAGCATGAGAGAGCTGTCACTTGTTTGTTGTTTTTGTATAGTTTGAACTGCTTGTACTGTATAATTGATAGTTGCAGCATTCCCTTTTCTATTTTTGTTTTTCTTGTCATTTCAGCTGTTGTCATATATTATGTATGCTTTGGGAAAGTTGAGTTTATATTCTGCCAGCAGAGAGTGAGGGGGTGATCCAGCCTGCACTGTTGCCAGACAGGACTGGACTTTTTTATTAATGATATATACAATCTCATCAATTCGCTGAACACGACACCCCACGATCCATTCTTACTACTGCAACAGTCCCAGCTCACCCAGACTTCCTACAAAAACCCCTCACACACTCTGTACATCGCCTCTTGTGACATTTAAACATAAACTTTCTTGAGAAAACAAGCAGCAGCTTAACTTTTTAAGCACCACAATCATATAGTATAGTACTGTACAAGCATTAACTCTTGACATTTATGAGCATCGTAATTTATGAGGAAAGAGTACAGATTTGATGAGTTTGTTTACGTGTATCTATCTCAGGTTGGAGTCAGAGAGTCAGTGGTTGCCAGAGGAGGAGGAGAAGCTGAAGGAGCAGATGGAGGATGGCCAAACTGTGAGAATTACACACACACACACACACACACACACACACACACACACACACACACACACACACACACACACACACACACACACACTCCTTCTTACTCTTAGGACACCAGGGGGGGGGTTGTAATATGTGTTGAACAAGCCTGCTTCCATCATTTTCCATTAGGCTGAACATTTTCCCACAACTTCTTTTCTCTGGCTTTTTTCCATGAATAATGTATTTCCTGTCTTAATGTATCTTTGATGTAGCACCTCTTGTTCAAAAGCAGGAACTTTATGAATGTAATCAACTCTGTTACATAAACATTTCAGCACTTGATCCACTCTGGAGTTATTGTTTCACCTCAAGCCGAGCACAAGAGTGTTTACCTCACCTCCCTCAAGGTCTACAACAAAAGACGTGTCCCTCCTTTTTCTCCCGTCTGGCTCCAGGGTCTTTTTCCTGCGGTTTCTCATAATCATCATATATTCATCTTAACCTTGGCTCTCAGCTCAATCCAACCTGAGACATAAACAGAGGATTACATATTAAAATAGCAGTTACAGCTGATTAGCAATGCCGGCTCGGAAAAAGGAGACTTTGAATGTCTGACCTCATCCTGTGTGCTCAAATATAGTACTTTAAAGAGGCCCTGCCAGCAAAGCTTTGGTTTAATGGACACTCTGGGAGTGAGTGACAGCTATTATTTGGCAGCACAAACAGGTTCAAAAATAATAATTATCACATGGTTTTCCTGGTGCATTCTGGAGCTGATATGTCACCTAGCTGTAAGTGGGCATCCCGTGTCTCTTAAGTTGCATCCATGCCTCCCTCACTTGCACCCCTGAATTGCATCTTTCACCTTGCATCTTAGTCCCTCCCACCAGAGATGCATGGAGAGACAGTAAGAACTGTTTTGTCTCCATATGTTACCTGATAAAAGACACACGCACATGAAGACCAAACTGCAATCGACCGAGGAGCGAGGAGACATCATTTAAGAGACATTGGATGTACCCGTAGTTGTAACAGGAACACTTCTAATTCCGAGGTCAAGTAGGACTTAAGCTCAATCACCCCCCCTTGTGACCAGGTGGAGTGTCATGGCCCCATGGCCAACTTCAGCTTCCTCTATTATAGAGACAATGGTGGACAAATGTTCTAGTTTAGTACAGGCTGTGCAAATTCTGTTTCTGTCCTGGATTCATGCCTGTTTACTCAAATCCTTTGTTGTGTTCTTTTATTCAGATGTTGTTGTTTTATGTTCACCTGAAAAGTACCCATCAGGTTCAGGCATCATAACACAAACAGTTTTACCTGCTAAGTCAGAGTAAATTAAATTCCTCCCCTGTCCCTCTTACCCAACAGCAGGCAGTGAAGGTGGCAGAAGCCGGGCCAGGTAAGTGGAACCTTTGTGCACCGAGAAATGTTAAAATGACAGTGGACATTTTTGAAAAGTGCACTTCCATTAGCTTTTTACCAGAGAAAGTGAAGAATTTATTCACATTTCACACTGCAGAGGAGTGAAGTTGAACATTTTAAGCAATTTGACATTGATTGTATACAAGTGTAGGGCACAGAATTTCTTTTTAACACACAGCAACACATCAAGCTCGGAACATTTCATAAATATCAAAACCACATTGAGCAGACACACAGCCTTCTTGTTACCACCACCTGTTAGCCTCAGTGGGGCTTCTTAATGCTCCTCCTATTTACACCAGTTTACATCTGATTGCATTTCAATAGTTCAAAGTTTGGACTTGGATGTTTCTTAAATCAAAGACACCAAATTTTCTCTAAGGATTTTGTCTGCTAGTGTTGCAGTAATGCATCAATATTATGACAAGAAAAGTTATTTTAAGATACAGCTATGCTGACAGCATTGTAGTGCCGTCTTATCTTGATGTTTAGAGTCTGAAGGCACAGTGAACTCGGTGTTGTTTCTGAGAAAATCCGATCTAAAATGTGTACTTGGTGTTGTGTCCTTGGATGTGTACTTGGTGTTGTGTCCTTGGATGTGTTCTTCGTGTTGTTTCCTTGGATGTGTACTTGGTGTTGTTTCCTACAAAATCAAAAATGTGTTAAAAAAAACATGATTTCTATATCTTCCCCAGAAATAATCCAGGATGCTGTTTTGAGGAACGGTGACAACAATGCAATAGGATTGGGTGAGTGTAGAGTTGAATTGTTAATCATAAAAGATGCACAAACACACACCACAGTACTGACATAAAGCCTGTGTGCAGAGTGAAAAACCTTGATAACCGATGTCTACGTCTGTCTTTTCTTTGCCATTCTTCCTTTTTTTAATTGTTAACGTACCACCATCTAACATCTCCACGTTAGCAAGCATGTAACCCCCAATAGGAGAACATGTATGTATGCATTGTACATACTAATCTAAATAAATTAGCATCTCAAAGGCAGGAGCGTATACAACGTTTACTTGATGTATATTCTGTCATGGAAACTTACTAGTCTGCTCTTATATTTATGCTAATAGGCAGTCAAGTGCATAACTTGCATTTTTGGCGGCCAGTGAGTTGGTGGACGTGTCAGCAGGGATGCAGCTCAAGCTGTGAAGTGGACAAGAGAGTAGTGAGATTAACTCGAGCCATCCACTTTGAATTTAAATCATTCAGGGTCTATAACTTCAGACAGCTTGATCTAAAACTGCTGAAGCATGCTCTTTTCTGCTTCTAGTTTATATGCCACAGATTTTTGTCAACCGTCACCTCCTTTGCATGAAAGCCTAAAGATTATTTACATTTCTGTCCTCGATTGTCTTGTGTTTTGTAGCTTTTTGTGATGGTACATAACACCGGTTATATTTAGCTCTGCTGCGAAAAAGCTCCACTAATTAGAAAACACTTTACAGCTGGAAGCTATAACAGCGCTGCCACTGTTTATCAGCTTGTCATTTATTAGTCACAAAGTGAATGTCTTGGGTGTGTGATGCATTAAGATTTAGAGATGGCAGAAGCTTTAGTTAGCAGCATTACAACATGAATTTGCTGTACTTAGGGCTGACATATTGGTGACAAAGCAATAACTAATTACAATCAAGTAACGGTGTTTCTATGTGAACGACGAAGAGAAGCTGATAATCAGTATTAATGGAAGTGTGCCCTATTGATTGCTCATTTGCTTAACATCATATGAAAACATGAACAATGCTTGCTCTTTAAATCACAGCAACTGCACAGAAATCATCCTCAAACAGTGAGATAATGTGTTTTTGTTGTGGTTGTTCTTCAGAAACAGCAGAAAAAAACGACCAAAGCTCACTGCTGGATAAAACTTCAGCTGTCTTAACCAATGGAAGAGGAGATTTAGAAGCAGCCAACAATGACAGCGTTTCAGATGACGGTTATCAGCCCACCACCAACGGACATGTTGTAGTCTCCGAGGATGTAACGAACATGGAGATGAACTTAAGCCTGGGCGAGGCTGCAAATGACAACCTTAAAGACGAGGAGGAAGAGGAGAGCACTCTGGTGATGAGAGCAGAACGTGTGATCATAACAGATGAAGGGGATGATGTTCCTGAGGATCTTGCGCCCCAGGAAGATCCACAGAACACCGCCGGGTCAGAGGAAGCCCCTCTGAAGGTGGAACCAGAAGCAGTTGAGGAGGGAGGAGAAGCTGTAGAAGAGGATGAAGAGGAGGTAATAAGAGCAGCTCAAGAAACTTCAGCGCAACCAGAGCAAACCGAGGCTCCTGCAGAGACGCAACCGCACGCTGAAGATGGAGCCACACAGGAGGATGTGGGTACAAATGAAGTAGATTTGAAAGGTGAGGGACAAGGCAATCCATCAGAAGATCCAACCTCTGTGCAGCTGCAGTGCCCAGCCGACACCCTAGAGGGCACCACAGTGGCTCCAGTCCCAGTCTACTCCGAGGTGCAGGTGTCCGCTCTCACCCAGCAGCTGGAGGCAGAGGGTGAAACTGAAGAGTTAACAGAAGGAGCCGAGGCCGCGCTGCGTGACCAGGACCCTGCCTCTCTACCTGACCAGTTCCAGGAGGTTCCCCTGGCCGATCCCCAGGTGAGCCAGAGGACAGAGGCAGGACCGGTGGAGCAGGATCCCCTCCTGTCTCAGTCCAAATCCCCCGACACTCGGGCAGAGTTTGCGGCCGCCAACAGCCCGGACAGCTCATACACACAAGTACCGAGCAGGGCCGCACAGGGGGAGGAGACCCAGTCACCCAAACGCAAAAGCTGCGAGTGCTGCTCGGTCATGTAAACACCCCTTCTGTGCCTTCATTAACTCTCCTCCTCTTCCCGGCCTGCATCCTTCAGTCTGTCTCCCTGCTGTTACATTCAGAAAACACTCATCCCCTCTTTTTGTTTTACACCCCCATTTATTTTTATTTTTTTTAATTAGTATGTCCAAAAGCTACTTTCCTTTCTGTCTTACTTATCTTGAAATTTCCCTTATCCCACTCTTGAGTTTTGATATGCACCGGACTTGTTAAGTGCCTTGAGGATCTCTTTACCGAGGACAACTCTTATTCCAACAACAAAGACCAAAATAGCAGGTGTTGATTTTAACACTATTTAAGTTAGACTTGGTTTAGTCACACCCATTTTCAGGTTCATATACTGGAAGATAATAAACACAACAACATGAGATGTATCATATTAAACAGTTGTATCTACAGTATAATTCAGCGGGGTTGTTTTTATCTTGAAAGCATATTTAACCGTACAATCCAAAGATCTGGAGAGGTTCAGAGAGGACATTGTTCTTATTTAATGAATTGAAAACTAGTTATTTGAATGATTTAGGTCTTTTATTAGAGATGCTTTCAATCCGAGTTTAGAGCCTGAACATTTGTATTCACTCTGTAACACGATACACAGACTTTACACAGACTTTACACAGACGTATTGGTCATTAACAACAGTGTGCACCACTGAATATTCTTAGGATGTTATGAAATAGAGATTATTTTTAAATACCTGAAAGTGTGACATTTGTATTCTTGCGAGATGAGCTCATGTGGAGAGGCTCCAGGGCTGTAGACTTACTGTAGCCCTGTTTATGGATGTATATACTGTATACAGGAACAAGTGGAATCCAGAGTGTCTGTGATGTCAGCTTTGAAATGATTGATGAATGGTTGAATGATTAAACTGACATTTTATGACACGAGTCTTGACTAGTCTTTCTATACCCCAAGCAGTGCTTCATGAAAATCAAACACACTGGATAGTGTTTAAATATTTGTTTCAGACGGTCATTCATTTTATATTTGTATTCCTACATGAGTGAAAACTGGTCATAACAAGAAGTATTTCTCTACACCTGCTCTTGAAGAAAAGAGAATAAGTCATTATCACCTGAGTCTCTGCTCATTTTAAAATGAGAGATGTAACCAGGTGTGTAGAAGACTTAAATAATGTTGATTCTTTTCAGGCCTTGAACAGTTAAGTAAAAAATGTCTGCATAGCATGATTCAATATCGAAGAAACTATATATTACACAATGGCCGATTCTTTCTTTTCCAGTTTCAAGTGCAATTCACATTAAACCCAGGTCTCATAAGGTCTCATAAGGGAAAAAAATAATCCCACAACCATGCGAAAAGTGTATATGAAGAAAATATCTCAATATTAGCCAAATGGATGAATGTGTGTCCTGCCTCTCAGCTTCACATTCTGTGACTTGTGCCCAGTTTTTTAAAGGAGCCGAAATCTCTAAAAGATTGATTTCAGTATTTGATTTGGCCGTGTCTGAAGATAAATGCTGAGTGGATCCAACGCTCACTGAACTTTCCCCGTAAAAATTAAACATTACTAGAAGTTGTCCTCTGCTGTTCACATTACACAAACAATGACAGGAATAAGAGGGGAAAGGAGGGGGGGGTAGCTTCCACTAAAATAACAAATGACCATGAAACTTAAAACAGTGCATTTTGTGGGCAACAACACACAGCTCTTGCATTCAGGCATTAACACAGTGGAAGAAAGAACTGATGTATGTATGATACACTCATTCAACACGTTAGCTGTAAACATCCCACAGTGCAAGAGATAAGAGAAACCATCAAACATTCAGGGTCAATTATCAGCAGCCCACAATGTAACATCATGCTTAGAGATAATAGTGTTTGATTCATTTCAATGGACAAATGCTGAAGATGAATATTGTTTTAGATCTTAAATTCACTGATCTCCTGCAGAATGTGATCATTTTCATGTTCCCTCATTTGATGGAGATGAGCACAAAGGTATCATTATCTAATGTTGAAACAGACATTTCATTATTCTTTGGAAAATGAAATGTCAAGTTTGAAATTACAGCATGTTTCAATAAAAGTTGGGACAGTGGCAAGCGAAGACTGGAAAAGTCATGAAATGCTTCAAGATGATGGAACATCTCACAGTTATTAAGGTGAACTGAAAACAGGTTAGTAAGATGAAGGGGAACATCCCAGACAGGCTGAGTATTTCTGAAGTAAAGGTGAGGAGGGGTTAACCACTCTGTTAAAAAAAAAAGACTGATAAGTTGACTGTAAAGTTTTGAGAATAACCTTTTTGAATATAAATTGCTTATAATCACAGGATTTCATCGTCTGGAGTACTTTGTGTTAAAAGATTCAGAAAATCTAATGAAATCTCAGCATGCATGGGACAGGACTAAAAAACAATACTGGGTGGATGTGATCTCAGATCAGACAGGATTCTGCAGTTGACATCGCTGCATTGGCTCAGGAACGCTTCAAATAACCATTGTCTGTTAGCTCGGTTCATCGCTGCATTCACAAATGCTAGCTGAGAATCAAAAAACCGTGCAAAGAGGAAGCTGTATATAAACCAGATCCAGAAACACCTCTGCTGTCTCTGGGTCTCTGAGCTGAAGAGGAGAGGGACAGTCCGGCTTGTTATCAGTGCTCAGTTCAAAAGCCAGCATCCATGATGGTATATGAGTGCATAGGTGCACATGGTATGAGTAACCTGCACATACATAGAGGTGGCTGTGGCACTGTTGGTATAGTCGGTTGTCTCTTAACTGGAAGGTAGAGGGTTCAATCCCCAGCTCCTGTTTCAACATGTCCCATGTGTCTGTGGGTAAGACACTTAACCCCGAATTGTTCCCGCTGCTTTGTTGTCAGCATTTGAATGTGTATGAATCACTTTCAGAAGACTAGAAAAGTGCTTTACAAGCTCAAGTCTGTTTAAATAAAACAAATGTTACCTCAATTATTTAGCAGCTGAAATCCTTCACCATGTTTCTTACAGAAAGAGTGCTGTTGAAAAAAAGAGGTGATGCAACAGAGTGGTCAACATGACCCTGTCCCAACTTTTTCTAAACATGTTGCTGGCATCAATCTCATAATGAGCATATCATTTTACAAAAATAAAGTTTCCACATTGATATTAAGCATTGATGTAGTATATGTTGTCTTTGTGCTATTGTTTCAAATATCATCACATTCATTTTTGTGTGTGTTTTTTTTTTTTGTTGTTGACATTTTGCACATCGTTCCAACTTTTTAGGACGTCAGGTTGTAATTTGGGTGTTCATAGATAACACATGTGGACTCTGCTCTCTGCATTGTGAAACTGCAGCTTTGGTGTCTCTATAAAGCCCGACCAGCCTGTCTCCTTGTACCACTGAAGCTGCAGTGCTTTGTTTTCTACAGTCGTTATGATTTCACCATACAAAGAGATGTTGGCTGTTTGCACCCTCGCTCTCCTGTCCTTGGTGTCTGCGATTCCCTCAGCTTCTCTGGAGTGTAAAGATCTTATCCGACCTCCGAAAAGTTCTGATCCCCGTGACTTTGAGGGCAAATGGGCTATGGTTGCCGACAGTCTCAAATCTCCAAACCCTATGACTTTGAGCCGAAGCATAGTTATCGACGTCTACAACTCCACTTTCTATCGGGGAAGTCTCATCGGACCTCGGTGTGTATATGACTCCCACAAGATCACAGTGGAAGCCTTAAATTACAAGACTGAAGCGAATCAGCATTTTAATATCAGCGGGAGCATCTTCCACACATCATGTCCGGACTGCATGGTGCTGAGCTTCAACTTTGAGTCGCTCTATTCCAAATCAGAGGAACTGATCTTGTTCAGCAAGAGGAGGGAGGTGGAGCAGAAGGAGCTGGAGGAGTTCACCGCTCAGGTGAAGTGTCTGAACTTGCCTGAACCTGAAGTTTTGGATCCCAATGAGGAACTCTGTCCAATCCACCACAACTAGAAGCATGCCCTGAGGAGAAAAAAACAGAATCAAAGGCTCAAGAGACTTTGTGTTGTTATTATTTCCACCACCACTGCTTGTAAGGGTTTCCAAACAATGAACATAAAACGCATTGTTCATAAATTACAATGAAAAATAATCTTCATTTGACTACAGACAGTGAAATGAAGAAACAGTCTGATATGTTGCAAACTATGATAATTTTGTTTTTGATTGGACGTCTATTATAAAAAGTGATATCATGGTATTTGTCATTTGAACACACCTTGTTGCTGAGTAAGTAAACATGACAAGAAACTCTGACTGTGCTGTTGTCAATCATTCATGTTTTATCAGAAAATGAGCTGCTGATCTGACTAACGTGACATTAATGTAGAATTACAAGATGATCTGAAACACATGTTGATTTGGGAAATGACCTGTGAAACATGAATTGTCCCAAAGTGTAAATGAAGAACTTTACAGTGAAGAAGTAAGGTGATCAGAAACTGTACATCAGAGTGATACGCATCCCTGTGTGACGGGAGATCTGCAGATTGACACGACGTTGTGACTGAATTAAGTCGATCAGATCTACATGTTCTGCTTGTTCTTCATCGTCTGATTCTTTATGTAGCTTTTGAAAGCACCACCATTTTTCTTGAGAGAATGAAAAAAAAAAAAAAAAAAAACAGCATCACAATAAACTAGTAAGCAGTGAGGATGCCAAACACATTAAAGCAGGGGTTCCCAAACTTTTCAGCCCGCGACCTCCAGTATAACGATGCAAGAGACCGGGGACCCCCAGTGTCCCTGGAAGTGGTTTAAACATTTAACATCACAGCCAGGCACACTATTACCCCCTATCCAAACAATGGCATCAGAACACCACACAACAGCCCAAACACCATCATATTATTTATGTTATTTATTGTAAGAAACACCTTTTTGTGTGTATTTTCACAATAATGGGTAAAATATGCAATTTTACACCATTTTCCATTTTTACATGTTTTTGGAAGGAATCTCGCGACCCCCTAACAGTATCTTACGGCCCCCTACGGGATCCCGACCCCCATTTTGGGAACCACTGCATTAGAGACATGTATTCCGAATGTGCTTCTTTTCTTCTTTTTTTTACTTTCCAATCCCAGATTTTCTTATAAATCAGAATTCAAAGGTCGTCACGTTTACAGTAGATCAGAGACCCGAGAGACAGCAGTTCAACTGGAAACTGAGTCAAACATGTCTTTGTTTTAACAGTGGTAAGTGTGGGTATGCTTCATATGAGATGACCATAGGGAAAGCAATTGTGTACATTTCCCTAACTACATTTAATCACATTTATCGGACAGTTTTGTTACATATCAGGTCATGATTGGACAATCACTTGACAAACACGTTGGCTTAAAAATGAAATGTCCACTTTATTTGAAG